GCCCCCCACCACGTTGGGCTTGACAGTGTTGGGGCTGGCTGGGTCTGGTTCTTGCCCAATGGGGGTGGGGCCGGCGGGGTCTGGGTCTCGCATGATTTGGAGGCACTTGTGGCTGGGCAGGAACCTGACTCTGGGTCCCATGGTGTGCCCCAGACTCTGACAGGAGGGAGATTTTCATAGACATTTTACTAGTTTTCTTTCATCTCTGACACTTCTATTATAGAGAAAGGACAAATAGCAATATTAAAATATTTCCTCTAATTAATTCCCTTTTAATGTTTATGAATTTTGTGCATTGGGCCACTAGTCTTACTAATAACTGCCATGCATTAAAAGCACCAAATTCACCTAATGTTGTGCCAGATGGTTTATATTAATCACAAATGAATGTCCACCCTCCTGCATGAATGACTACCAGAATCATTTTGTGGCTAAAGAACTTGGAGTAATCTCACACTCCAGGCTAAAAACTGACAGAGCAGGACTTGACCATTGCTCTGAATTCCTCGAGAGTCCATACCAAGCCAGGCTTCCAAGTCTGTGGTACACCTCATGTCACTTAATCCATTTTTTCTGATTTCAGCTTAAAAAATGTCCTTCAGGTATCAGAAAGCAGAACTTCATAATCAAAATATTGATTTGAAAAGTAACAGCCCCAGCAACAAGCAAGATAATTATCAAAAATATAGACAGAAAATGCTGATATTCAGTGATAATATTAAAATCTACAAGGGAAATATCAGTAAACCACAAAAACTCCAGAGATCACAAAGTCATTTGGCTCAGCCCCTCTACCATAGAGAGTAAAACTCTTAGAAGCAAAATGAACTAAGAGGCTAAGTCTGGCTGGTAAAAGGAAGGAAGAGGTCATTGTTTTTTCAATGACAGCACATCAATATTACTGAGCTATTTGTTTTGGCTGCATATTCTCATCTCACATGATGCCATGCCTCACCAGACCCTCTGCTATGTTTAGAGTAGGAAGATTAGTCAAGAGTTCTCAAAGATATGGCATTACCAAGGAAGCTTTTGACAGGAGAGATAAGAGTCAAGAGGAGGATTCTGAAGAATGAGGACAGGGGAGACACAGAGACTAGCTTGTCTCACCACTCAGACCCAGAAGGCCCAGGAAGAGCTGTCAGGTTGAGCATCCCCTCACCTATTTTCAGGTTTCTCAGGGACATGAGAGCTTTGGTGTACATGGGTGATGTTAAGGTGAAATAAAGAGGAGCTCCAGGGGCCTTCCAGGAGTCAAGGGAAGAATCATGAGTGAGCACTAAGGACACACCCTTACCCTGAACAGACAGGCCCCACGGAGCCTGAATCCTGATGTCACCCCTGGTTGGGCACTAGCAGGAGAGCCTCATGGGCATTCCCTGAACTTTCCTTCTATGGCTCCTCAGATGGTGAGGGCTTTGTCCTGCAGCTGTGAGCGCAGGGAGGGAATCCAGGCCCTGCCAGGAAACAAGGGCAGAACCATCAATTGCAGCTCTGGGGAACATAGACCCTAAGACCATGAGGTGGCACAGAGACTGCCAAAGAGATCATCTCTGAGATTCCTTAGGCAGGGCCCTTAGACCAGTGATGGCGAACCTTTTGAGCTCAGCATGTCAGCATTTTGAAAAACCCTAACTTAACTCTGGTGTTGTGTCACATATAGAAATTTTTTGATATTTGCAACCATAGTAAAACAAAGCCTTATATTTTTGATATTTATTTTATATATTTAAATGCCATTTAACAAAGAAAAATCAACCAAAAATTGAGTTTGCTAGTCACCTCTGACGCGCGTGTCATAGTTTCGCCATCACTGCCTTAGACTGATTCTGTAAGAAGGGTATTAGAGATGTGAGGGCCTTGCTCTGAGGGGAGGGTCCTCAGGTAAGGAAAGGAAGGAGTGCCAAGCATCTTCCAACAGTCAAGGTGAGAAACCTGAGTGAGAATTTCGGGAACCCATTCCTCTCAGAAATGTAAGGGCCCAAGTGTACCCCCCTTGCTACTGCCATGGGATACCTGGGCATTGTTGGCATGATGTGACATAATCACCTCCTACTATGGTGTCATAAGGGGGTGGCTAAGGGACTTGGTCTAAGGGTATGGCCTGAGGCCAGTAGTGGGAGGATTTCTAGCTTTCCAGAGGCCAAGGTGAATACTAGGAGGACTAAGGTAACCACAGCCCCCACCCCACCCCCAATGGTAAGAACACCATAAAAGTAATTCCTAACTCAGCCTCAAGAATCTGAGGACAGGTATGGTCTGACAAGGAGATCCTCATATTCCCCATTGCCCTCATGGTGGTCCTGGCCTTGAGATGAGGGGCAGGCCCAAGGGTTAAGGAAGAATTATACTACATGAGAACAGTGGGTCAAAGCAAGGCCTGAGGGTCCATCAGCCTCTAAATAGAAGGGATGACAAGGCACCAGACTCCCACACTGGCTTTCAGCACTTGAAGTCCAAGGACAGGGCTAGCAAACTGAAGCTCCCCCAACACTTACTTTACTTGGTCCATGGGAGGTGAAATCCTTAGTTTGAAGATGTAAGCACTATTCAACTAAAAGAGTGGGGACACAAGGCCAGATATGTAGCCAAATGAGGACTTTTAGTGAGGACTGAGGACCCCAAAGGGACCAGGACAGGAAACCACATTCAACACTGGGAATACTTGCACTGGGCTGATGAGTTGAAGGCCTCCTTCACTTCATTCTTTTTGGTCCCATGGATTGCCACCAGTTGAGTGATGCTCTTCAATGTGAAATAACAGACTCCTCAAACTCAAAGACTGCCTGCCCCTATAGTCACCTCAGTATGCCTCAGGTAGGACTGGCAGGATGCAGCACAAAATTTTCCCAAAGCAAAGGATGAAGGTTTTTATAGTGGTGCCCTTGAGGGGAGGTGCAAATGCAGACTTCCTTACAATCAAGGTGTTACTCCTATGCCAAAGCTGCACCTACATTCTTGACCTTCATCCTCCAGGAGCTCTCATTACCTATCTTTCAAGTACCCTCCTCACCATTTTCTCTGACCATAGTCATCATGCCTAGAGGCACAAGAGTAAGAACTATAATAATCAGAATCAACAAGATTCCCAAGAGTAAACCCAGAGCCTCAGGATATTGGAGGCAGCTGCCACAATAGAAAAAATGCTCCCCGCATTCTCATCTTCTGGTTTGGAACATAATCCCCAGAACTCATCAGCTACTGATCTAACTGGTACTTCCCAGGCATCTTGGAGAGCTCCAAAAACCTCTATTACTCTTCAGGTGCATGTCACACAATATCTGAGAACAGCCAATATGAGATACATTCATGTTGCTCTGAGGTCCTATCTCTAGAGAACACATGCTGTGACCCTCTAATGATGGAGATGACTATCTTGAAGAACTTTATCTTGTACAAGTACAGAGTGAAGCAGGCCATTCTGTAGAAAGACATGCTAACCATTGTCAATCAAAAGTAATGCCAATAAGATCTTTCTTGTTGAGATCCTCAAGAAAGCCTCCGACAGCATTGAGGATCTCTTTGTGGTTGACATGAAGGAAATGGACTCAGAAAAACCTCCCTGTGAACTTGTCAGTAAACGGAATCTCCCCAATAAGGTGAAGGTGCCTGCTGGCAGGGGGTTACCGAAGACTGGTCTCCTGATGAATGTCCTGGGTATGGTCTTCATGAATGGCAACTGTGCCAGTGAGGAAGAGACCTGGGCCTTCCTGAATGCCATGCGAGTGTTCCCTGGAGGAAACAGTACATCCATGGGGAAACTAGGAAGCTTATCACCAAAGATCTAGTGAAGCTAGAGTACCTGGGGTACTGCCAGGTGCCCCAACACTGATCTTCCATGCTACGACTTCCTCTGGGGCCCCAAAGCTTACACAGAAACAACCAAGATGGAAATTCTGGAATTTTGGGCCAAGCGCAACAATAGCATAACAAGTGCGTTCCCATCACAAAATGAAGAAGCTTTGAGAGAGGAGGTAGAAAGAGCACAAGCCAGATGGGCAACCAGGGCTGGCACTGGTACCACAGGCAGGAAATGTTCCATGGCCCGCTCCACTATTTTCTCCACAACTAGTAAAATATGAGGAATGATTTTTGTCATGAAAAAATATATGACATCATGATAGAATGTTGGATGGACATGGGATAGAATCCCACAGAAAAATTGTTGGAACAATAAAATAGAAAAAAATATCATCCACTCTGATTTTCCTTCCTCTTTTCCATTTTTTCTTTTGTAAATTTAATTGTTTTATACCTCCATATGCTGCGCTTATTAAAGCATGTAGTATAGAGTAAATCTTAGCAAATTAGATCTCTTCCACCCATAATCCTCTATTCCCCAAAAGTAATTGTGCATGTGCCTTTTGGAAGGCCCTGTGTTAGTACTAGAGATAGTAAGATAAAGACCCAGCCTATCTTCATATAAACTTTCCTAGAAGGAGCTTCAATCACATAAGGAGGATGTTGAAATACTTTCTATTCTTTATAGGAAATTTAAAGGGGTGGGTGATTTGGGAAGTGAGTCATGGTTTAAATTTGGTGACACTGCAAGTCAGCCTCTGAGATGTCTTCCTCAGTTAGGCTACATGGTGGAGAAGATAAGACTTTGGGACTGGTGAGCAGAAGCCAGACACTCAGATGAGTTGTCTGAGTTGAGAGAGACAATATTTGCATAGAAAACAGCACTGTTGTGTAAGGTCTAAAATGAAGGCCCAATAATATGTGCTGCCTTGACCTGCCATGAAACCAGCATGACCTCACATTGCCAACTGCAAGTTCCAATCCATACTCTTCACTTGCTGATAAAGTCCCTACCCCAAATCCATCTTTTTGAAGGGACAAAGCCTCCATCTTATTTATTCCTAAGTAGTGGATTTCTCTTCTTTACCGTCCTGTGGACTTTGCAAACCATCTGATTACATGCTGCAGGGGAAGTAGAGGTCACCTCATCCTCTTGATACCCCACAGCCTGCCTCCCCCAGAACTTGCTCTTTCACTGTTCCTTCATGTAACCCTGCCCGATTGCCACTGTGCGGTTGGTGGTGTCCCTCTCCCCCACCTTGTGAGCTTGCATCATTGTTAGTTGCTGTATAGCTTATCTCTACAGGGCCCAGTGTTGTGGTTTTTGGACACCCCATTACCATAGCGCAGAAATCCCTTCCTCATCCCAAGGGGTATAATAGGGACTATTGAACATGCTCTTAGGAATTAATTTGGTAGGGCAGATAATCCAGAAAAACAATCTTGGTCTGCGTCAATGTATTCATTATCTCAGGCTGACCTAACAACACACCTAGACTGGATGGCTTAATCAATGGAAATTGATTTTCTCACAGTTCTGGAGGCTGGAATTCTAATGTAAGGAGCTGGCAGGTTTGGTTTGCTCTGAGCCCTCTCTCCTTGGTTGCAGATGGCTACCCTCTTCTCCTGGCTGTCCCTTGTGTGAGTGCATGCCTGCTGTCTCCTTGGCTGACCTAAAGTCTTATTAGAACCCCACTAAATTTGCATCATGGCCTATTTTAATGGCCTCATTTTAACTTAACCATCACTTTAAAGACATTATCTCCAACTAGAGCCACATTCTTTGGTACTGTGGGTTATGAACTCAACATGAATTTGGGGGACCCAATGCAGCCCCCAACAGGCAGGAATCAAATGTGTCTTTGCTATTCTCTTAATGAAGGAAAATAGAGTACACAAATAGGTGTTCTATGCACACTCTCTCCAGGGAGTTTCTGACAAATAATGGTGAAGGTGAACAGAAGCCATCATGTTGACACTTTTTGCCTTGTAGTTGTAGAGTCAGATCCCACTGTATTAAAAGAGCATTTTTCCCTAGCTGGTTTGACTCAGTAGAGAGAGCATCAGCCTGTGGACTGAAAGGTCCCAGGTTTGATTCTGTTCAAGGACAAGTGTACTGGTGCAGGCTCTATCCCCATTAGGGGGGGTGCAGGAGGCAGCCAATCAATGATTCTCTCACATCACAGATTTTTTATTTCTCTCCCCTTCACCCTTCCTCTCTGAAATCAATATATATATATATATATATATATATATATATATATATATATATATATATGCACTAGTGGCCTGGTGCACAAAATTTGTGCACAGGAAGGGGGGTTCCCTTAACCCCTCAGCCCAGGCTGCACCTTCTCCAATCGGGGACATCCCTCTCGCAATCTGGGATTGCTGGCTCCAAACTGCTCACCTGCCTGCCTGCCTGCCTGATCACCCCTAACTGCTTCTGCCTGCCTGCCTGATTGCCCCCAACTGCCCTCCTCTGCCGGCCTTATCACCCCTAACTGCCTCTGCCTAAGCCCCCACCACCATGGCTTTGTCTGGAAGGAAGTCGGACATCTGGAAGATGGCCGGTCGACCTGTTCTAATTAGCATATCAACTTTTAATTAGTATATATATTTTAAAAAGAGCATTTCATCTGGAATACCTTTAGTGGACTTAGGCGAGTTCTAAGGGAGGGCTAGGTTTTGGAAGGAAAGAAGAAGAACATAAAATGTAGGTGGTTTGGATTGAAGGACAGCTGGAAAGGATTGAATGAGGTATTCCTTGATGAAATTCTTGAAACTATAAGTTGCATCAGGGTCATGGGGGGTGGGGGACCAGCAAACCAATATCAAATAACAAATGCTCTAATGGAGAAAAGCTACTTAATTTTAAATTGCAAATCAAAATTTTAGCTGATTTGGTGTTGTTCTGTCTGAGAGTATCACATTTTCTCTGACATATCCTGGATTTTTTTTTAAAAAAAGCCTAATGATACTGTGTAGGTAAACATCAACTGGCTTTCATTTAAAAGCCAGTGTTTGCCAGTCATCTTGACAGATGCTTCACATACCACACGTACATTTCCACAGTTTCAAATTCTAGGGTTTATCACAGTCAGTTGGCGATGGTGAACTTGCCATATTCTGATAGTCACAAGAATGTAAGTGACATAACTAGACTAGACCCCTGGTCTGAATTCATCTAGAGCAAGCATGTCAAACCCACAGCCGGCACACAATGTCCAAACTCTCCCACTCTGATGCAGACCTTGTATATCTGCATTTACTTTTCTTCTCACTGCTTCAAACTATATCTCAGGAAAGTAAATAAAAAGTTTTGTGCTCCATATGGTGGACTGGAATGCATAGCCAGAGCACTAAGCATAACAGACCGTTGAGAAATGTGAATCATGAAAGGCAGGAGATAATATCCAGTGATAATATGATCACGTAAGATGGGACGTTACAAAATTACCTGGCTCAGCCTGTCTCTTAGAGTAAGGAAATCGTTAGGAACAGGAGTTCATAAACAGCCAAGTCTGGGTCCTAGAGAGAAGCAATAGAAGATCCTGGGTTGTATGTCTTTGCTTTTGTTTTTGTCTGGAACCTGCCATCTACCCTGGGTCCTCTGCCTGTACCTCCGTCTCCCCATCTCACATCACACCTGGGACACAGACCTGTTTTCTGTGAGACCTTGCAGTAGGGAGGTTAGTCAAGAGTTTGCATTTTTTTAAACTAAATTTTATTGGGGTGACATTGGTCAACATGAACATAGAGGTTTCATGTGTGGGTTTCTTTGTTACAAGATCTGTATACAGCACCACGTGCCCACCACCCACAGTTAAATCTCCTGTCATCTCATATTATGACTCCCTTACCTCTGGCAACCACAGCACGGCTATTCACATTCATAAGTTTAAGTTTTAAATCCCACATATGAGTTAAATCATATGGTCCCTAGCTTTTTCTGTCTGACTTAATTACTTAGCATAATGTTTTCAAGGTCCATCCATGTTGTTGTAGATGATGCTATTTCATGCTTTTTTTAATCTTTTATTTATTTATTTTATTTATTGTCTAAAGTTTTACATATGTCTCCTTTTCCCCCGATTGCCCCCCCCCCCAGCCATTCCCACCCCGGGCACCCTCGAACAAACCCACTCCAACGCCCAGGGTCTGTCTTCATTGTCAAGCTGAGATGGAGCTAAACAAGGCCGCGGGTTCGCTTAGAAAATGTAAA